CTCGTAAATGTTAAAGTAGAATCAGGAATTAATGAAGTAGGGAGCTTTTTTTAAGACCAGGGTATAACCAGCTCACTGAGAGAAAACTGTACCTACGAAGGGATTTGTTTTTTCAGGGAGTGTATGTGTTACTTGGAGGGTTCAGGTGGAATTTAAATACCATACTCTCTACCAATGCAAACTGTAGCTGTAACTAATAAAACATCTAAACAGTGACTTTATCTGCCAAACCTTATATCCAAGGCTTTTGTTTTGTGGGGATGTTTATTTTTCCAGCAGGCAGAAATCATTCCTTTTCATGATCTGGGAACACTGACTGCTGGAAACAGCAGAAAAGGTAAGCTGGAGTTTGCACAGTAGGTCGTTCACTGGGGTGTACGACCAGCAAAATTCCAACTGGTGCATTGAATTAGCCAGTTACTTACAACAGTAACTTTTGTTCTGGACTAGACTGTAATGACTTAATGTAACTTTTTCAGTTGAATTCATTTAAATGCTACTAGTTTGGTCATTTTAAAGTACTGCATATTGCAATTTCAGAAGCTGGTTTTAAGTGCCTTAATATTTCACACTTATGCTACATATTCCTTTTAGTGCATAAGTTTCATTCCAGTATTAATATCCTTCAGCGGCACATTTAGTTTAAATACCAATCACAAAAAAATCCAAAACCCTGCATGATTATGCAATGTTCAGTCTAATCAACTAAGTAATCAAACCAGCCTGAATCACTGTATTCCCTTTTTACCTCCACTGGTCTCTCTTTGAAGAACTGAACCCCTGAAATCCTGAGTTTATCCTGTTCCTCACCGGGTAGCTCCGTTGCATCCACAAGCATGGAGGCTACTAAGATGGCTTCACCCTTTCCTTCTGCTTCTGTGGCTGTAGAGAGCGTTTGTCTTAATGTCACGCCTGTATTCCCACTCAGCTGGGTCAGCCCCCCTGGGGACAATACAGTCACCACGGACCTGTGTTATGGTTTTTTTTTATCCTGGTCTCAGTAGTGGGCTCGTCAACGGACGAGCTGGGAAAGGGAGGGGGAGAGAGATCCATGAGCTGGGTTTGGATGAACTGGAGAGAGCGTTGGGCTGGTCAGGACTGGTGGGGGAGCTCTTTGCTGCTCTTGGAGGGACTCGGATTCACTCATCCTTTGGGGTTTAGTTTCCTCTCTCTTTTCTCAGTATGGTTTTCTGACTGACCATAAGCCTAGAAAATTATGAAAAGTTGGATTTAAAAGTTTTACTGGTTTTGACAAATGTTACTAGTATTGTTAGGGAAATGTGGTGGGCTAATTTTCAGGGCTGCTGTGACCTGTAACTCCAGCTGAAAGGTACAACTCAGGGGCTCAGCAGATCTTCAAACGAGGCTTTAGGCTAGACTTACCAGACACACCCCCACACCCCCCCAATCTGATGGTCTTCCAGCACTCTCCGGGGAATGTTCTCAGTGCTAATATTTAGTGAGGATTCTCTGAGCCATTTGATTATTTTCTAATGTTTGATTTTGCAGTTGGGGTTTGCTTCTGAGAATCTGCTGTAGAAAGATGAATAATTAAACTGCAGGCAGGAAGCACAATATTTTAATACTCAATTTCTTCAGAGCCATTTTTGGCTTTCTTTTTTATGATGTTTAAGTCAGCAGTGGCCTGACCAAATGATGGATCTTGGCATTCGCTACCAGTCTATGTGTTCAGAGGTGCTGAATGTGAGGTTCAAGCCAGGTCTGCTCATTATAGTGACCAAATCTGGCTAGTTATGTACAGTAGGAACAAAATTTGACTGTGTGTGGATCCCTGGGATTCAATAAAACCTACTGTACTGTATTAGCTTCAGATGTTTATGTCTTGTCTCGAGGAAGTCTGCTTGCTTTCCTTGCTACCGGTGGAATCCTCTTAAGATGTTTTAATGTTTTCTTTTCTCATCATGGGTTAGTCATGAAAAAAAATTGCCCAGCAAGCCTCTGTAGCAAAATTCCAACTGGTGCATTGAATTAGCCAGTTAAAAAAAAACTGCTCGGAGTGTCACTCTCAAATGGATGGCTTTGGTTTTCTGAGGTGCATCACAAAGGTCAGTAGAGGGTCCTTCCTGACAGTTCTCATACATACCTAGGGTTTTAGGATTTTCTGAGAAGACCCCCATCTTTTAGGAAACCTTCTCCAGCTTGGGTGAAGTCAAAGACTTTTTGCCTGCTGTAGGATTAAGTAGAATTTAATAAACTGCAAGGGGTGCAGCACTGCCTTCCGGCACTTTCACAGTGCATTTATGTTCACATATGGCATCTGTGAACTTCCAGGTCAACTGCAGAATCAAATGGAAAATTTTAAAACCAGGCCAAATGGGCCATGCAGCAGAGGCTGGAGAAGAAAAGCAGATGTATCTTTCATTAACAGATACTGGATTTAGTATTCGTTGGATAAAAGAAATGACCTATTCCATAGACTAAGACAATGGGGTAAACAGTTTGTTCTAGTTCTGTTTCTGCCAGCTACCAGGGTATGTGCTGGCACAGGTGGTTGTTGAACTTTGGTCTGGGACACAATGCACTCATTAATGCTGTATTGTGGGTAGATTGCAGATCTGAAGACATTATAGAAGGAGGAGCCAATCTGTGCATCTCCAAGCTTAAAAGGAAGATAATAAGGATAATTAATAAGGATTGCTGAACCTGACTAGCTGCCTTGTAGGAAACTGTAAGGTAAGCAGTATTTATTTTTGTCATTACCATTAAATTAAGTCCAGCATAAGGAAAGACTTACCAGGTTATCCAAAAGAATGAGTAATGTATTTTTTCATGTTGCTGTCTTCAAAATACCTGTGGCATTAGTCTTACGACGTGTGTGCAGATGTACTTGACAGACTCACTCTGACAACTAGAGCCACGTCTGCATGCTGTCTTTTAATTGTGGTATAAATAATTTCCCAAACTGTAAACTAATCACAGGTAATACATTTCTGTACAAGCTCATAAATGTGTAAGTATCACATATGTTAGCAGAGAGGGGTGTGACTGGCTTTCTCCCACCAGCAAGGCTCTGGCTTATTTCTACACCCTGCAGAACTCCTTGTAAAGCTCACGTGAGCATTTTGTATTTCAGGATGCGTCCCGAAAATATTCCAAATCAACATGTGGTCTTTTGATTTCTATATAGCTGACCTTTCCTTGGAAATACATTATTGTAAGGCTTAACCTCTTATGATGAAGATTACACGTAAGACTGTTGTTTATGGTCTACCAATGGATATTACCAGCTTGCTTTCCTCCCTGTTGTGCATAGTTAATATGAATACTGAGCCCAGACTGCTGATGGGTGGAAGGCAGGTTATGCGCAGATACGAAATGTAGCTGTGCTGCAGGCTCTGTTCAAGGGAAAGCAAATTCCTGGACATTTATGACTGATTATATGTTCCTTTGAAGTTGTGTGTATGTGCACTCATGAAGAAGGATGACATCGGGGGTTCTCTGATGGATAGGATTTTTGTTGAGGGGGAAAATACTGCAAAAGAATTAACAAACACAGTTTCAGAGGTGAATTCAGGCTCTTTGCCCCATGAATTTCATAGCTTTTCAGCCTTGATTTACAGGAATTTACTTCCTCTTTGATGCCCAAGACAAGGATGTTCTTTTAAGGTGGTCTGCTGCTGGGAAAACCAGAATGCTTCAAAGTAGTGATTCTTTTTTGAAAAACTAAGCAATCCAGTGTTCTGGTCCAATGCTTAAAATACTTATGAAGTTACAGACTGACTGAAACTTGGAAAGCCCAACAGAAAGATTGCTGTGTGTTTTTTTGCTCTCTTGCAATAAACTTAGAAAGGCTTTTATTCTGAAGCCCTTTTGTCTGAAGACTACTTTCTCCCTCACATGACACCCGCAGCAATATGAAAAGTCTTGGCTGCTCTTTGCAGTTGACTGTGTGCCAGGCAAGAGTACTGAGGTCTAAAGAAACCAGCCCAGACCATTGACAAGTTTTCCTTCGGTTTGAAGAAGCTCCCAAATGTGACGCAAGCACCAGCTCTGTGTGGTTTTACCTTCACAAGCAAAGGCTGAAGGATCTTTCCAGATGCAAACCTTCTGAAGATCTGGACTAGATGGTGGGAGAGACCAGGTACTGTTGGATGACTTAGAGTTTTCACTGAGTGCTAGTCAGCATAGTGCAGAGAGCCTGAGCTCATGAAAGTGCCCAAAACTGGTCCCCTGAGTCCTGAGTGTGTCAATGAAGCAGATATTTGAACTGAGGAGGTGCTACAAATAATGAAAAATCAAGACTTGGAGGGATCAGCTCAAAGTTCTTCATGTCCTTTCTTCTTGTCCTCCCTTTGGAAGTCTGCCCCTTCACAGTTACCTACTTACCTGTCCTTTAATCAACCAGCCACGCCAGCCTCAGCCTCCAGTTCGTTTTCTTGTAGTCCACCCTATCTGCAATGTATAGGACCCCATTTCAATAGCTATTAGCTGTTCTTTTCTTCTCTTCTTATGAGGCTACAGAAAGCCAACCAGACAGCAATGATTCGATCTGAGTGTACACTAAGGAGACTTGATTTCCTTTACTCCGGTTACTGTGTGGTTTGGTCATTCCCTCAATGAGTCTGAGCCAAGGTAACAAGTTGATGATGATCCTTGTGCTCCTTGGCATCATCTCTTACCTTCCCTCTTCTTTCATTTCTCACACTTCTAACAATGCTGAAAAATCTCCAAGGACTGCATTTTTCAATGTCCTTTTACACATTGGCCCACTAAGCACTATTGTAATTCTAATAAATAATAATAAATTAAAGATACAGTTATGATTATTTGAACTCGTTAATGGAGGAAGATCTACATGGTATGTGTGTGCAAATGTGGAATTTTGGCAAATTCCTGCAATAGTTTGTCATCTTCTCTTAACATTGTAAATAAGATGTGCTAAAATACTCTACTTCTAAAGTCAGTCAATTTGGCTGCAACAGTTCCAGGTTCCCTTTCTCAGCTGGTGTGCTATGTGTTTCTGCTGCAGTCTGCCTGCATTATCTGAGGGGTGATGCCTGTGTGGTTATTGGAGCTTTCTTTTTCCACTGGAAAGGCTTCTTCACTTGCTTCTTCTGAGTACAGGAAAGACGTGGGCTGTGGAGCAGGTTCCACATTAGCCAGATCTCAGCAACTTTCAGACTGTGAACTACCATGAGATCTTTGTAAAAACAGGGGTCGAATGTCTGTAGGTGCGGGGCAGCAGAAGGCTTGACAATGCCAAAGGTCTTGAATCCTTCATGTAAAATGGGTTTCAGGTTGATTCTCTGTAAGCACATGCCCAAAAAGACATCGTCGATGGGGAAGAGTTCCACCTCTCTGCAAGCCCTAGAGAGCTTCCTCATGGTGCGGCTGGACAGCAAAAACCCTCCTCCTCCTGCATAGGCTGGATAGATGCTTAGCCCATACATGGTCTCTGGGATATAGTATTTGCTCTTTTGGACGCGGATAGGGCGGGCATTGTAGATGATGTCCCCAACAAAGAGGTCCTCAGTGGGGTCATGTCTCTCAAGGAAGTCAACAATGTTCTCAACATTGACAAAAACGTCGGCATCACCTTTAAAAATAAATTTCACGTTGTGGCAGAATTCAGCAGCCCAGTTCAGGAAGTGGATCTCCTTCAGGGTCAGATTGAAGAAGGTGTCCATGAAGTCCCAGAGTAAAATGTCCCGATATGTTTGACTCTCCTGCTGGATCAGGGTCTCCCATGTCGCCAGCACTGTCCTATTCTTTGGTGTTCCCAGGAGGAACACGCGCTGGATCTGCTCCCCATTCACCAAACCTTCCCTGCCCCAGGTTTTCCGGACAATCTCACGTCTGTCAAAGTCTTCAACTACGGATTTGATAGCAATGAGCAGAAAGGGTCCTCCAGGTGTTTTCCTGCATTTCTTGGGCTGGTTAACGAGGAGGTTGAAGTTCCTGTTATCCTTGTTTAGGAGATAGCGCTTGAAGTTGAAGACAGAATCAGTCGGTGGGGGTGCGTTTGTAGTTTGGACCCTGTTCTTGGCCACTTCTGTTTGTCTAACAATAGGAGTTACTTGGGGTCTGGGTACCGTCGCCTCTGCTGGCATCTGTCTCCAAGGTGCTCTGGGGTCAGAGAGTATTTTCGGTGTTACTGAAGGCTTCTTCTGCGTCAGCTCCTTGTTTCCAGCTGGGACTAAATGTTCCAGTTGGGAGTAGAGTAAAGAGCAAAGCGCTACCAGCAGGAGGAGGGTACAGATCGCATCCCCTTTGAGACGAACTCTCATTGTCTCTTGCGGTGTTTCTGGGGCTGTTAAAAGCTGTGTTTGAGCTGCCTGGCACCAATGTCCATCTGTAAATAAACGTATGATGTGTCAGCAATGAGGATTCGGCAGCTCTAACTGAAACACCATTGAAAAAACTAGCAGCAAAGTGTGTTTTACTCAGACAGACACTGAGACACGTTAAAGAATTTGCCAAAAGGCACATGGGCTGCAAATCTAACACCGATCCTAGAGCTCTGGCTCTGTGACTTGGCTAGTTAAATCAAGCTGTCATCCATCATCCTGAAAACCACTTCCTAAGCACAACGTGAAATCAGCCCTTCCTCCTACATCCCTCTCTGCCGAACGCATTTTGCCATTTCAGAGATTTCACTGCTTTGGGGAAAAACAAGGTGAAAAAGTATGAACAACAGCATTCTTCCATAAATAATTTGATTTTTTTTTTTCTCTTCCCCCCTGCTCCCCCCAGTTGGTAACTGCTTCTTGCTGCCTTTACCCTTTTTGAGTCAAAACAGGGAGGCAGGGACTTGGCTTTTGAAGGGCTGACTTTCCAGCAGCAGCGTGTCACTGGTGTTTCCCTGCACACAAAGGCAGCTCTCATAAACTGACTACGATTTGTGCCTTCAAACTGAATACATTAGGTATGCTTTTGAGTGCACGTAGGGCCTTGTTGCTGCCAGTAATCTTTATGAAATATTAAACCATTATAAATAACTTCCATTAATAAGGTTAGAAGGGGCACCGGTGTTTTGCCTCTGCCAAATCACCCTAACCGGTAAGCAAGAGGTGGGTAAATAAATCCCAATACACAGAAGCAAGGCAGAGCCTGGTGTTAGGAACGTTTTATTCCCGTGTGAGAGATGAAGCTGCCTTTTGAAATACAAGATTTGATTCCTCACTTACGCTTTTCCTGCAGATCTTCTGTCTCATTTGATCAGTTCTTCAACTGCAAACAAAGAAACAAAAAAATAAAGAGTAGGGAGAAGGCAGAAAGCATCTAACCATAGTTCAGAGAAAGAGCTGGTCAAGGGTCTGTAGCTGCAGCAAAGGCAGGTCCTCTCATCACCATCGTACGTGCAGCCATGCTGATCCCCACAGCGGCTCAGAACAGAGGGGACCTGACAGTTGCTCCGGGCTCCCGGAGAAGGCAGGCGACAATCGTGATTCCTACAGTCGTTAGCAGGGAGCATGTTTCTAAAAGTGTAGCTCTACCCAAAAACTTTCCAACAAGTGCGCATAAGCATTCTTATATAACCTGCTGATAATCTTTTACGCTCATACGCAATTTATAGCTCTGTCTTGCCTGTGCTGTATTAGTAGAAGCTACCTTTGAAGGTATTACAGTTGTGTGCCTTGAATTAGCTGAGATCATCTTACCCAAAAACTTGTGATAGAAAACTGTCTGGTTGAATGTCAGTCTGTCTTCACTTAAGGAATGCTCCTTACTGAGGACTGAAGAGGGTGGAGGAGCCAGGGCGTGCAGCTTCCTACACAATTTATTCCTGCAGGTCGCTGTTTTCAGCATTGTCAGCCTGCGGAACACACAGATGGATGCTCTGCCTCCAGTCAAGCCCCGTAGCCACTTCACTGACTCAAACATCTAATGGGCAGCTACGTGCTTGATAAGAATATTGTTATTAAAAAGGACCCTCTTTAGTTCACTGGCGTCCGTGTTCAGCAAATCCTTTTCCGCTGTCACGGATTGTATCACCAGCTAATTGTTCATTAACCATCAATTCTGTATCAGCCATAATATTATCTTTTCAAAGCTCAAAATTAGACTGATGAGTCTGTAGCTATGAAGTATTAAAATAGTGGCACAACATTACCTCCAGACCCTGCAGGATCTAGGCAATATTTCAAGACCAATGAAAAAGCAAAATAAATCAGTTGATTTTTTTGGCCAGCCCTTTTAAAATTCTTAGATGCACATTACTTGGACCTCATAATTTTAAAATATTTTATTTTTCATTACTGGTTAACTGCATCTCCAAGTTCTTGTTGAAATGGAGAGTACTTCATCATCATGTGGTATCAGCCTTTTCCCCAAGTGCAGCTCCAAAATATCTACTGACCTTGATCTGCTTTGACTCCAGTATTACCGAAAACTTTTATTTTAGCAAATGGCTTATAAGTGTCTTGGCAAGGCTCTTCGTGTTCCCAGTGGATTCAAAATAATTTTCTCCTTGCCCTTATGTCCATGCTTTTTTCCTCAGGACACCTTTCTCGTCGTTTTCTAGCCTCTAATAAGATTGCTGGGGTTTTCCCCTTTTGTTGGCTTTTTTTTACTGTACCTTTTACTTCCAGGCTAGGCAGATGTCTTAACTAGTATAGCTTTGATACTGATAGCAGGATGGTAGAATTTTGTCTGATCTCTCATAAATTGTTGTTAAAATGCTTATAATAATCAGAAGCTATTTTCTGTTCATGCTTTTTCTGCCACATGACTTGACTCACAACTATTTTCAGCCTCATGAAACAGTCTCTTTTAACACACATAGGATATTAGTTTGCATTTTACGTCTGTTGTGTGCAAATTACCCTTGGCAAGTCCTGATTAGGTGCTCTGCAGCAACCTGCTGTGTTTCAATTTTGTGCTAAACCATCCTTTATCTGTTAAGACATGGTTCCCAGGAGGCTTTTCCCCATGTTGCCTTCAATAATTTTGAAGGCAAGCTCTGGGGGGTATGAAAGGATGGTCCCACTACACCCCGGACGTGCTACTGAACTGAATCATCTAAGGAGAGAGAATCTGTCCCTTTTCTGCCCATCACAAGCGAGAATTTTTGCTCTGTGCTATCGAGATACCTAAAACAGGGGCCCTGTCTTAAAAAGCTCCGAAGAACTAAAATTGAGGTATTTTTTGCTCTTTCTTTTGCCATGGGATAAGCTTTATTGAGGTGCTACACAGCTCCGTGCATGTGGTCTCCAGAGCAAGCAGGAGATGCAGAGTCCCTGGTGGGATGGAATCCTGACAGCTTTGGGCTGTTTGTGTATCTCCACTCAAGCTCTTCATAAAGTCTCATATCTTTCCCCACTGTAACTGCAATTTTTCTTTTCTATGTATAAGTTTGATCTTGTTTCAGCTGCAAGGCTCCAGATGGTAATTAAGGAGCTGGATGAAAGTCCTGGCTCTTTCCTGTGTTTAATTTTATCGGTGAGGGTTTGGAATAAAACGTGTGTGTCATGAAACTCGTAATTTCCATGACTTACAGATTTATCCTGCCAGCATCCTGGAATCTGGCAATAAGCGCCCTTGGAAAAGCCAAGAAAAACCCTGATTTGTTACAAGCCCGGGCTGATAGCCTGAATTTTCTTCTGTGTTTGCATTTATTGAAAGAAAAGAATCCGAAATAGTGATTTCCATGCTGAAAAAAACAATTCAGCACTGAATATAGACATCTCCTTTTCAGAAGAAGTTGCCAGCCCTTGAAGTGATTCCTTGATTGATTTACATGGATTTTCCAGTCTTTGTTAGATATTTCCTTCTTTTGAAGGAAACTCCCTCGATTATTACAGAAATGTGAGCTCTATCCATGGGTGTCAGTGTGGGAAAAGCTGTCCTGTTCTTGAATTCAGAGGGATTGATGATTCTGGCAGACACTCTGGTATGTCCTAAAGCCAAAAAGATTATTCATCCACCTTGACACCAGGTGAGGAAAAAAAAATTACAGGGCTATCAAAGCGAGCAGAAAATACTTGATGTCAAACAAGAGAGATGTGAGCGCAGCAAAGCGTTTCTTGGCACAGCATCTCGCTGCGTGTCCACATCCAAGGCGGACGCACTTCTGCTTCGTACGCTGCCGTGGGGGATCTCCATCCAACTTGTGAAACAGAGCTGGGGTTCTAAAACTGCTGCGTACCTCGGTGCCTTGGGGAGCCTGGGTTTAGCTGCCAGGGCTGTCTCTGATGTCCTCCAAGCTTGGAAAAACGTGCAGTTGTCCCTCCTTGTGTTGGCTACCCCCGAGGATGGCTACAGTAGGGATCTCGAGTCCACCTTGAGCAGTTCTGAATGGGACGGTGCGGTTTGCCCCAGCGGTGGGACGAGGGGGTCCTGGGGAAGACCGGGAGTGTCATGTGCTGGGCTGCAAGCACCAGCGGCGTCGGGGGGCTGAGCTGGCCTGTACGAAGGGGCTGAGAGGTTCCATATCCATGGGGTGTCAACATGGGGAGCCCGTGTGTAGGGACCGTGCTGGAAGGACCGAGGAGTCCACAGCCTGCAATGGCCCGAGAGGCAGCAAAATGCTCAAAAGCTGGAAGTGGTCGGAGCTGGGCATGGCACCCTGGTGAGCATCCAGGCAGGGAATCTGACCTGCACTGTTGCACGCTCGGGCAGAAGGCCCAGTCCTCCGCCTGGTTTTCATTTATTTGAGAGGAGGGTTCTGAAATACGGCCAAGGAGTGCTGCAATAAAAGCAGTTAAATGATCATTTATTTTTTTTATTTTTATTTTTTTTTAAAGTTGCTAGTCCTTCATTCCCAACTGAATGACGTGAAGCCTTGAGCTCATCCTGGAAACTTCCTTCTTTTATAGCAGCTGTCACGTCTCCACCACTTGGCAGTTCTGCTCACATGGGCCCAGGTGGGGAGAAGCCTCTGGATCCTGTCCCTGAATTCAGTCAAGAAGCCTTGGTGATTCTGGCATGTTGCTTTGTGTCTTGAAGAGTGGTTATTCAACCTGCCCAGCCTTGGGAAAAGCAGCTGCACTAGCAAGGCAAGCTGAAAATGTGGTACACTGAGCAAGAGTGTACGAAACACAGCGATGAGCATTGCTGCATACTCGTCCCAGTCTGGCTCACGGGAACATCTGTCCCCATCAAGCACATATGTGGGTTGTCCCCGGATCAACTTGCTGCCCCACTGCGTGCAAAGTGTTTCCAGCTCGCTCCCAGCTCCCCTCTTTGCTCCTGAAGCTGGAGCTGCCACTGGTAGGTTTGGGTTGGGCAATGGAGGGGCTGCATATGTTGTGTGGGCTATTGAATATCTGGGGCTGTGGTTGCTGATGGAGATATCTTCTCCGTTTCTCTGTAAAATGAGCTAAAGAAAATGTTGGGGATCCAGA